CAGATCTTTTATTTTCTCTGTACCTCTCACTATAGTTATGGGGTAAGCCTAGAAATTTGTTGACCCTCTTGGCTTCTCTCAGTGGAAAATAAGAGTTCAGAGTTGGGTGAAACAAGACACCATCCTAATGATATCACTTAAGTCCTTGTATCAAAGTGGGCTGAAGTAATCATCAATCATGGACTTTTAAGTTAAATTAATCAATAGTTTTTGTTGGTCTTTTGGGGGGTTCTTTTTTGCTGGTTTTTTGCTTAAACTAATTTGACTTGGATTTATGTCACTTGCAACCAAAGAGTTTAGACTAATACTTATTCATCCTTGTCTATCTGAATAGAGCTATACTGTAAAATAATACTCTGGGTAACAACCTCCTGCCCCCTGCCCGCCACACACACACCACAAAGAGATTGGAGATTTTACTACCAATTTTATGAGTAAGAGGCATATCTATAGCAAAACAAGCAAAATACATTAGGCAGGACCTTGGTATATCTGAGAGGTGAATCTTATTTCCTATGAGTTTTAATGTCTGTAATTTAGACCTAGAGTTATGAAAATATCATGGTAGTGTTGATGAATGCCAATATGATACTTATAATGAAAGTGTGATGGCTAATTTGATGTTTTATCTTGCCTGAGATACAGTGTGCCCAGATATTTGGTTAAATATTATTTCTAGATATGTCTATAAGGGTGTTTGGATGAGATTAACATTTTAATCATCAGACTGATTAATGTAATTGCTTTCCAATGGTAGTTAATTTTATGTCAACTTGACTGACCATGGGGTGCCCAGATTAAACCTTACTTCTAAGTGTGTCTTTGAAGGTGTTTCTGGATGAGATTAGCATTTGAATCTATGGACTTGGTAAAGCAGATTGCTCTCTCCAACGTGAGCAGGCATCATCCAATCCCTTGAGAACCTGAATAGAACAAAAGGCAGAAGAAGAAATAATATTTCCTCTTTTAGCCTTCCTGCCTTCATGTGTTGGAAGATCTTTCTTCTCCTATCCTTAAACTGGGATTTATATCATCAAGTCTCCAGTTCCCAGGACTTCATTCAAACTTGGACTAGAATTACATCACTGATTTTCTTAGGTCATCTCCAGCATGTAGACAGAATATTGTGAGACTGCTCAGCCTCCATAGACTAATGAGTCAAATCTCTCTCTCATTCTGTTTTTGTTTTCTGTTTCTGCGGAGGACCTTAATACACTACCCTCAATGTGGGTGAGCCATATCTAATCTGTTAGAATAAAAGGCTGAGTAAGAAAAATTCTCTCTCTGCCTGTCTTCAAACTGTTAATTGGCCTTCTCCTTCCTTCAGAATCTGACTCAAATTAGAATTCAAACCATCATATCTCCTAGGTCACAGGCCTTTGGACTCAGACTAGAACTCCACCTTCAGTTCTTCTACATCTTCAGCCCTCTGACTGCAGATCTTGAGGCTTCTTACTTGCCATAACTGCATGAGACAATTTCTTATAATAAATCAATATCTATCTATCTATCTATCTATCTATCTATCTATCTATCTATCTATCATCTATCTATCCATCTATCCATCCTATTGTTTTCATTTCTCTAAAGAACTTAGACTAATACCAAGTTCAGTATCAAGAACAGCACTGCCCTGAGAAATTTCTGAGAAGATGGAAATGTTTTCTTCTGTTTTGTCTAATAGAGTAGTCATTAGTCATGTGTGGCTATTGAGTACTTAAAATGTGATTAGTATAATTAAAATGCATAGTTTTAAATTTTGCCTTATTTTAATTAAGTTAAATTTAAATAGTCACATGGGGTAAATATCTACTTTTTGGATAGCACAACTCTAGGCAGCAAACCATATTAAAATCATGTTATTTCTTGTACGTTACTTTCCGGACTCATTTCCTTCTATTCTCCAATGTCCTTTTAGTAATTGTTTGTTCACTACTTCAAGATGCTTTATTACTCTTATTATTTTTTATAAGGAACAAATTAGATGGTCCCTAGAAATGCAAACTTTGTTGCTCAAGCAGTAGAATTATAAGGTAGTTTAATTAGCTATGGATTTGCCAGGAATCAAGCAAGATCATCGAGTTCTTTATAGTTCTTCATCTCAGCTATTGAGTTACCAACACAGCTCCTTTTATTTGGTCAATCTAGATCAAAAACTGGGTCCTTAGTTGATTTCTATTTGTTAGTCTAGCCAGACTCATTCCATAAAAGGTCTCTGTTATATTCCTAACCAAAATGATATTAAATACTAGTACAAATATATTTTTAAAATTCTTAAAACAAGGAGATACGAAGATGACTAAAAACAGTCATATGCATTTTAATAAGTGAATATAGTTATTCCTATCCATTTATTCCAAAATACTTGCTTTTGAAAAAAAATCAGGAATAGTTAACAATGGTCAACAATGGTTACATCTGGGGAGTGAAATCACTAAAATACTTTCACTGGGTTTCTATTTTATTTACTCCTACATAGTTTCCATTTTACTAATTCATATGTATTTCTTTTGTAAATAAAAATCTAAGTGAAAAATTTTTTTATAAGTGCTGAATTTTTAGTTTTCTGGTTCCACTTAATACTTAGAATTATTTATTAAGGAAAATGATGCCTTAGAAAAAGACACAAAGAGGAAAGACAAGTGAATTTGTATATATACATATTAAACTAGACGATAGTCAGCTTTGGATGGATACATCCATTACTTCAGTAAATATGTATTGAGTGATTACTATGTTTCAGCCCTCTTCTAGTTGCTGATAACCCAGTTAACAAACTAAATCCCAGCGGCCTTTTAGCTTACATTCGAGTTGTAGAAAAACCAATATTCAAGTAAACACATTAATTAAATAATATAAATTCAGGTTTATAAAGGACATGAAGCAAAATGAAACGAGGTAGTTGTGCAAAGAGTGACGAGATGGTTGCGGTAGAGAGGCAAAGGATCATCAGTAAATAACTCCCTGAGAACATCACATTGGAGCAGACTCCTTGGTAAAGTCAGGAAATGACTTATATAATGATGTTGAATAAGAGTGTTCTATGTAGTAAAACTTCACATAGAAAAACCATGTGGCAAGTATGAAACTGACTTGAATAAGTGCAGTCATTTTTTTAAGAAGTTTTTGTTTGTTTGTTTACTTTTTAATAAAGCTCATTTTCAATATCATTGCCCAAAAGTTGAGAGTCATCTCCAGGATATTTCCACTTATTTTTGGTCATTTGCAAAACTATAATATTAGCTGATATTAAATACTAGTATAATGTGATCTTGTAAGATCAATGTTTGCTTGTTTGAGCGGGGGCAATGGAAGAAAAAAAATTATTGCTTTTGATGAATTTAAGAAAGTGTGTGATGGCCACATATCTTATATCATTTAGATTCCATCATTGTAGATATAGAAGTTATAGTACACAACATCAGAAGGCCAGTTTACTCTACATATTGTGATTGCATCTTTTCAAATGACAGAATGTAGAGATGTTGGTAATACTGCCAGTTGGTATATTTATGTAAAAATGCAGAATGGAGGACATTGAATGTTTTATAAATAGTAGCAAATGCTAAGTTAAACATGCATTCAAAAGCAGTTAATATTGCTCTTACTATCATATATGTATATATAATACTATACCAAATGCTATTATACTATATGTATTATGTACTATACCCAAGAATTTTTCACTTCTCTGCAACACAAGCAGCTGACCTCATATTTAAAATCCTGGCAAACATGGAGAATGGTAATCAATGCTTCCAATGTTCAATACACTACTTTTTTTTAAAAGGAAGAAATGCTTCCAAAGTTTAATACACTCTTTTTTTTTTTTTTTTTTTTTTACAATGGTCAACATTTTCATCAGGTCATGAAATTTCTTATTTTAGGACATAGGTAAATGCATTTTAAGGAAAGTTTACTCTTCCACACAGAAAAATAAAAGTGAGATTATATTAAAAAGTCTGCAAAGAACCTCCTCTGAACCATTGATAATGCTTAGTTCTTAGAAATTAAATTAGATAGGGGAAGAAAGGACTTAATGTACCTTTTAGGCAAGGGAGGAAATAAAGGCAATTTTTAACTTATTTTTATATTTTCTATATTTACTAATTTCCCTTATAAACAAGCACAAAGTTTGAAATAAAAGTTCAGATTTAATAAAATGTTAAAAAACAAAAAATCTCCCAAACCAGTCAATCTACTACAAGAGTCAATTTACTATGAGAGTCAATTTAGCATGGATTTTTCGATTTTTAGTTCTGGGAATCTATAATGACTGTATATTTGAATAGTATTTAGACATTTCACTTAAACTTTTTAAAAGCAAAATATAAATAGTCAAATCATGTGAAATCCCAAGAAATTTATTCATAGTGATAAAAAGTGAGTTAATGATTTCCCATTCTCATTTCAAAATTTTTGAAAACCCTTCCATTGCTATTTTAAGCTTTACTGTGATATAATCAACAAAGTAACTTGAAAGATATTTAAAGTGCACACTGTGATGATTTATACAGATAAACATTGTGAAAAAATTTCCCCTCCTCTCATTATCACATCCATTACCTTAAAACTGTTGACAAATTACTTTGTTTCTTGTAGAATAAAAAAGACATTAACATCACAATCATGATAAATCCCAAGTCTCTCAAATTGGTGTAGAAACAATCATAAAGTACACACTAGTGTAGCCTCATCTGTGAAATCTATCTTAAAATAATTCTAATATCTGTGGTACTACTGAGGGAGGAGGAGGCTGTCATCCTATTTTGTGACAGTACAAGCAAAGAGAACCATCATGTCCAAGGCAGGAAAAAGTATGTGCTATTTTACAGAACTTTTAAAATAAGTATTAAATAAATGACTTGCATTTAAAGTGTTAATTTCTCTTCCTTTTAAAATTTATTTCAAAACATGAAATTAAATATTTAAAAAATATGTTTGCCATGAACTGAAGTTGAAACAATGCTTAATGATAAAGAGAGTAAAGCAAATCTCTTGTACTTGCTTTGGCAGCTCATATACTAAAATTGGAACGATTCAGAGATTAGCAAGGCCTTTGAGCAATGATGACACAGAAATTCATGAAACGTTCCATATTTTCAACAGGGTAACTGCATTGGAAGGCAGAAGGCAAGGAAGCCATCCAGGACTCAGATCGTAGCTCAGTGTGAGGAATGGGTATGGGAAGAAAAGAAAGATATCGAGTACATAGGTAAATGCATTTTAAGGAAAGTTTACTCTTCCACACAGAAAAATAAAAGTGAGATTATATTAAAAAGTCTGCAAAGAACCTCCTCTGAACCATTGATAATGCTTAGTTCTTAGAAATTAAATTAGATAGGGGAAGAAAGGACTTTAACATTATATACCTTTTAGGCAAGGGAGGAGTAAGGCAGAGAATAAAGGTAATTTTTAACTTATTTTTTAATATTTTCTATATTTACTAATTTCTCTTAATAACAAGCACTAAGTTTGAAATAAAAGTTCAGATTTAATAAAATATTAAAAAGCAAAGACAATCTTCCAAACCAGTTTAATATTTTAGACTCTTGCATGTAGAGACGCATGGATAAATGCCATCTTTTGGCAATTTATAAAATTCATTGTCTGGTGATTCTTAAAGGGTCAGTTAATTTGTAAGTTTACCGAGACACTGGTAAATATGTGGACAATAATAAGGCTAAAACTATGAACTGAAGATATTTAAAGATATTTAATTGCATTCTAATAAATGTTTTAAGTTTTAGAAATAACTTACTCATGCAATGACAACTCTAACATTTTGACTATAGTCTCTCTTTAAAATATTGAAAAATCTTACAATCATTGAGCATTAATATTTTTAAAAAATTGATTAGTAACATCTAAGTATAGACTATTCATAAAATAATGTTATATTTTTGTACTTGAAGAAGACATTATTTATCCCAATGGCAGCAGCTCACAATTTGAGTGTTTCTCCCTCTGGACTGGAATAAATGCAAAGTCTTTTCAGTCCTCTGGGTGTGTGGGCTAAAGAGAGCTTTTAATAACATGAAAGTTTAAGAATCTCATCACAAACTTGCAACCATTTTTAAACTATCTAATTAAAATAATTGATTTGTTCCATAGTTTACAAAAATAGTTACTTTTTTGTTGTGATAACAAAGAGACTCCTAGGGTTCCTGAAAATAGTAATTTAACGAAAATTTTCTGGGCCTTTTAGTTTCCCCTGTTTCATAGAACACCCACCAAAATACTCCCTGAGGTTGTGTTCAGAAAAGCGGTGTTAAAGACTAACGCTTCTCAAGTTTGTATACATATAAATCACCCTGGAATCTTGTTATAACCAAGGATCTGCTTCTGTGGGTATAATCTCTCAGGGTAGGGCCTGAGATTCTGCAGTTCTAATAAATTCCCCGGTAATGGTGGCAATAGTGGTCTGAGGACTACATTCTGTGTAGCAAACCTATAGACTATTTCAGTGTAGAAATCCTAACTGCTCTGATTGTTATCGACAAGAACAAAAATGTGATTTACTTCTTATTATCGATCACAAATACTGAGATATGTTCAGTTGGGGCATTTTCTTGAATATAACAATCTTAGAATAATGTCTTTTTTTTTTTTTTCTATTTTTTAGCTCAGTGAGACTTTAAAAATCAGCAAATGCAGCTCTCTCATATTATAATTGAGGAGATTGAGGGTCAGGGAAGTTGAATATATACTCAAGGTCATAGAGCTAGTAGCAGGATGTGCACCAGAACCCAGGAACCCTAAATACTATTTCAATAAAGCAACACTACTTTCTTTGGCATTTCCATTTATTATATTCTTCCTGGCACAAAGCCTAGGCATGAGTCAATAATGATTAGAATTTCACCTTTTGTTGTTCACAATAGTTTGAATGATAGGAGTATCTTTGGACTTACTGACTTTTCTAATAGCTAAAACTCACAGTAGGCAACTATCTCCTACAATAACAAAAGTATTCACACATCCTCTTTCTTCTAGAGTCCACTTGCTGTTTTATTATGGACATTTTATTTCTTAATTTTGAGAACCTAGGGAGAAAGGTGGACAGAGAAATGAATGGGTCATTAGTTAAAAGGCAAAGGTTGAATTTGTAAAAGGTTGTGGCAAAGTAAGCAACAAACGGGAAAGAGCGAAGGGCATCAATATTGATCTTGCCTCTCATCTTTTCCTCTGTCTTCTTGCTTGCAGGTTTCTTTTGTGTAGTCTCTCAAACAAAGCTGACTTTATGGTGTGACTAATTTAACACTACTGAACTAGTCCATCATCTGCTAAATTAGTCCAATTAAAAACTAGTCATAGGGAAAAGCCTGGGAATTAAGCTAATTTGGAAACACAACTTCTGATTATGTCTTGCTCATTTATTTCTCCTAAAGAACACTTTTCAGGGTACTGATTTATGGAGCTGGTTCTTTCCAGATTCCTGAGTTCTTTACTATGACCACCTTTGGCTGAGTCCCTGAACAAGGTAGTTACTCTTTTTCTTCCTCCCTTAAGGCTATTGTTAGTACGTTTGTAGGGTATTGCCTATCTTTTCCCACTATCCGGTATTAGAAAAATCTCCCTAAACAGCTAGAACCACCATTTTAAAAGCCCTTAGAGATTGCACGCTCTTTATTAACATGTTTGCATTCTTAACTAATCCTCACAACTCTAAGAGTTAAGTACTATTATTATCCCTGTTTTTCAGCTGAGGAGGTTTCAGATTTAAACGTTCAAGTAAAATCATCAAACGTTATGAAGCAAGAAGAGACAGCTGTGTGATCTGAACTAGGGTCTGCGTGATCCCAGTAAGGACTGACACTGTCACCCACTAGGCTTTACTGAGATTTATACCTAGAATAAGACAAAATTCTGGAGAACAATATCAACAACAAAAAATAATTTCCTCCGCCCCTAACTTTTTTGTTTTCTGCCACACATATTCTCGTAGGCAGGTAGATGTTCCACTCCCTATACTTAGCCTCTCCCACGCCCTCTGCAATTTTCCCTTTTGCTGCTGGGAGCGTCAGAGAATGCTGCTGCAGCTGCTGAGTGGGCAGGTGGAGCCACCATCTGCTCTAGGAGTCCAAATGCGCAAAAGAACTTCGCACCCAGGACCTGTCCCAGGCATCGCAGATTCCAGAACCTGCTGGGGACACAGCTAACCCCGCCCCCTCGCGGTGACGATTGGCTGAACCCTTCCCGAGTGCAACGTACTTATTAATGAAGGCAGCTGTCTCCTCTGCAAGTTAAGGCGAGACAATCTCTAAGGAGGTGAGATCCACCAGAGGTGTGTGGATGGGGGCTCCAGTTCTCCTGCCCGAAGGGTCCTTGAGAAGCCTGTTTGTTTTTCCCGGCGCTTGTCTCCACCCATTCCTTTCTTTCATTGGCCAGGTTTGGTGGGCGGGTGCCTTTCCATTGGCCGGGGGGCGGTGTCTGTCCCTGGCCAGGGTTGGGGCGGGGCCTCTGTCGCGCTGAGCTTGCCCTTGTGGCTGGTGCTCGCTAGAGCTG